AGCCTTCCCTAAATACTGTGCCCGTGTGTTTGCCATGCTTCTGAGAGGGGGACGCATGAAGTACAAGGACAGAGATATCTCCCAGGGGAAAGACTGGATGGAGAAAGAGCAGATGCAAACAACTGTAAACGCCGCAGATGGCTATTTATGAGTCCAAAGGTGGACATAACCCAGTGTACATCAATAGATGAATAAACAAACAGCGTAGTCCATCTACACAATGGAATACGGTTATAGTTAGGTGTCCAGGAGTCCATTCCAATTCAAATCAACCCATGTGACCGAATGTCCACAAGGATTCCTAAGAAGACATCCAGGCCTTTTACCAAGGATGGGTTCAAACTGCCAACCTTTCAGTTGGGAGTCAAGCACTTAACTTTGAACTTAACAAGGCTCATTAATGGAGTATTATACTACTGCTGTCAAATAAATTTCAACTCACAGTGACTCAACAGGACAGAACTGCCTCATGGGGTTTACAAGGCTGTAAATCTTTACAAAAGCACACTTCCCCATCTTCTGCCCCAGGGCAGCTGGGGGGTTGAAACAGCCAACTTCTCAGAACGTCACCACTGTGCCACCAGGACCCTTTAATAGGATGTTGCTTTGTACCGTCAAGTCAGAACCGACTCAGAGCCAACCCACCAGTGAGGCTTTGGGAAGATATAAATCAAACAGAGGGAGCTCTGGTGGCCTGGTGTTAAGGAGCTGTGCTGTCGACTCCAAAGGCAGCGGTTCAAATCCACCAGCTGCTCTGCAGGAGAAAGATGGGCAGTTTCCTCCTGTGATTTACTGCCTCTGAAAACCCGCTGCAAGGTCAGCTCTGAGTTGGCTCCGACGACGGAGGGGCACGTAACAATAACCAATCGAATGGGAGACTGTCCATCCATCTCCTTCAGAGCCAAACTTCCCGGAGAAGTGCCATCTTCGGCTGAGCTGTGCAACTGCCTACTATGTTAGCTTAGTGCCCGCAGTGACAGAAGTCGGACATAAAAAACCGCATCGTGTGATTCCATTTGAGGTTTCTGTCTCTGACTTACTTACTTTTTTGTTTAATTTTTTAAACCTGTTGTTACTGAGAATATATACAGTAAAGCATACATCAACCTCCTACACACACAGTTCCACAATAATGATTACCACCTCTGAGGTGGGCATTCTTATCCTCTTTTTCTGAAAACTGCTCCTTCCCATCAACATGCAGGAATATGGTTTGAATCCACCTGTCGCTCTACGGAAGAAAGACGGGCAAGCTCCTCCCGTGTGATTTTCTGCCTCTGAAAACCTTCTGGAGGGTCAGCTATGGACTGGTTCCAACAACTATCAACCTGAGGGGCCGTGAGCACAACCACCACACATCTGTCAGCTTGCCTTGCTGTGGTGGTTTGCGTGCTGCTCTGATGCTAGAAGCTGTGACATTTCAAATACCAGCAGGGCTGTCCGCAGTGGACAGTTTTCAGCTGCGCTTCCAGACCAAGGAGCAGGACTAGCCATCATTTTCTGAAAGAACAGCCCCTCAAACACTCTATAAATAGCAGCGGAATATTGATATGGGGCCAGAAGATGAGCCCCCCGGCTGGAAGACGCTCAACATTTGACTGGGGTAGAGTAGCCTCCTCAAAGAAAAAACTGAAGCCTTTGAATTGTGGTGTTGGCAGAGAAGGAGGAATGGACACGGCCTGCCAAAAGAACAAACAGCTCCGCCTTGGAAGAAGGGGAGCTGGGATGTTCCTGAGAAACAAGGGGTGGTGAGATTCTGTCTGATGTGCTTCAGGCATGTTTTCAGGCCAATCCCTAGAAAAGAACATCTTGCTTTGAAAAGCAGATGGTCAGCACAAAAAAAAAGAAAAAAGAAAAGAGTAAGACGCTCGAGGAGAGGGACTGACACTGTGACAGCAACAACGCGCTTACACACAGCAGACTGAGGACGGCACAGATCTGGCAGGGGTCGGCTCTGCTGTACAGCAGGTCTTCCAAGGCTGTAAATCTTCAGGAAAGGAGACTGGACATTCTACTTGGGAGTCAAACCACCAACTTTAAAGTTACAAGCCCAACCTTTGAGCACACTCCCCCACCAGGGGTCCTTGTGTCTACCTTCACCTCCTTGACGCCAGCGAGCTGGAATTGACTCAGCTGACCCCTGAGTGGGTTTCCAAAGGCTTTGAATAGCACAGGACGAGGATGCCCATCTTTCTCCCAAGAAGCTGCTGGCGGATTTAAATTGCCTGCCTTTGAGCTGGCCGTGCAACTCCCTACAGACGAGGCCACCAGAGCTCCTCTTAACCCCATCTGTTGTTGTCTGTCGTTGTTAGGTGCCGTTAAGTCGATTATGACTCATAACGACCCTAAGAATAATGGATCTGAACTGTGACCTGTACCATCCTCATCATCTCTGATACGCCTGAACCCATTGTTACAGTCACTGTGTCGTTCCACCCTGTCCCCACCCTTCCAAACATGGTGTCCTTTTCCAAGGACTGGTCTCTCCTAATAACATGCCCCAAGGTTGTGAGATGAAGCCTGCACCATTTTCACCATACCCTCAGTTTCAAGCCAGCCAATGGGGCACAGCCTGGGGGCTTGTGCCACCTTTCTAGCAGTGGAGACCCCAGCCAGCAGCGGGCAAGGCCCAGGGCTGTGCATGTTACCACACCTGCAGGCTTTAGCCTGAGCCAAAGAGCCACCCCGCACCGTGGTATCTGGAAGCCTGCATGTGTTGATGGTTTGCTCTGAGGGGTACAACACTCACCTGCCAGCTTGCTGCGCTGGGGAGTGATTTGCAAGTTGCTACCAGAGTGCTCCTTGGAGGCAAGGATAACAAGAGTTCACCTCACATACTTCGGGCATGGTGCTAGGAGAGGCTATCCCTTGGACAGGGGCATCATGCTTGGAAAGGCGGAGGGTCCACAAAAGAGAGGAGGACCCTCAACCAGATGGACTGACACAACAACTGCTGCAATGGGCTTGATTATGTCAGAAACGATGAGGATGGCACAGGACAGGACAGGGCTCAGAGCTGTTGTTCACAGAGTCGCTACAAGTTGTACTCAACTTGATGGCACCTAACAAGTTAATCTGTAAATTAGGTGTATATATGCTTGTTATCCATCCTAAAGAGAGTGAAATATTACCTCATGTGGTTTTGATAGATATCTTCGTAATAGCTGATGGCTCCAGGGATCTTTTAATGTGATTGGTGCCCGTCTGAATGCCTCCTTGGTGTGATGGCTACTCAAATCCCTTGCCCATTATAACACTGGGTTGTCCTTTTTGTCATTAAGTTGTTCAAGTCTTATATCTATTTTAGTCATTAGATTCTAAGCAAACACACATCTTCCAAACATATTCTCCCCATTGATAGTCTACTTTTTACTTTTTTGATAAGGTCTTTTGACGAACAATAGGTTTTCACTTATATGCGGTTCCATTCACTTATTTTTGCTATTTGTACCTTTGTTATTATATTACAGTCCACTGTTAAACGCTAGGCCCAAGGGCAATGCCCTTGCATTTTCTTTTTTTCCCCCCAGCTCGGTAGTCTCCTTTTTATTGATGTGCTTCCTACCCTCCCCTCTCCACAATTTCAGTCCCTTCCACATAACCCCAGAGAGAAGGTAAAGAAAGGGATTGTTGGAATTCAGGCCCCTTGTGTACTCAGAAAGGGAACAGAAACCAAAACAATCACTGGATGTGAGACTGACCACCAAGGAGTCTGAAGCAGGAACGAGAAAGGAGAGATTAGGGGCCGTCTCCACCATCAACCCTCCTGCCAGGAAGGCTGGAGAAAAAGCCTCAAACATGAAGTAGTGCAGGTCTTGGGCAAGGGAAGTTGTTGAGCCTGAGAGAAGGGGTAGATCAGGAAAGGGGGTCACCTGTGTCCATGTAGAATGGGAGCCCCCCCCACCTCAAGGACATCAACTTCACAGACCGTAGACACTTCCCTCACTGCAGACAGCATACAGAAAGAAGGCTTCTTTAAAACAACAATGAGATATTATCTCACCCCAGTTAAGAATAGCAAAATTTAACAGAACAGCAAACAGCAAATGCTGGCGAGATTGTGGAGAAACTGGAACCCTTACTCATGGTTGGTGGGAGTGTAAAATGGTACAACCACTATAGAAGGCAGTATGGCGCTTTCTCAAAAAGTTGCAAATAGAAATATCATTTGACCCAGCAATTTCACTACTGGGAATTTACCCCAAAGAAACCAGAACTGCCGCCCAAACAGATATATGCACGCCCATGTTTACTACGGCTTTGTTCATAATAACAAACAGTTGGAAACAATCCAAGTGTTCATCAACAAATGAATGGATAGAAAAGCTCTGGTATATCCACACCATGGAATACTACACTGCTTTGAAAAATAAAGATCTCATGAAATATTATACAAAATGGATGACCCTGGAAGATATTATGCTGAGTGAAATATCTCAGTCACAAAAGGACAAATACTGCATAATGCCACTATTGTAAAATGGGACTGACATCGGGGTTGGGGGGAGACTGAGAAAGATGGGATAAATTATGTATACTGCATTGAAACAGATGATGGCGAGAACTGTTTAAAAGGGATATATGATTAGGTATTATTGTCATGACAGGAGTCCAGAACAAAGGCTGCATAGTGGAATGGACTTGGAGGAAGGGATTGTATAACAATGAAAGAATTTTTTCTTTTACTTTTTAAAGAGAAGAGTGAACTGGGGGGAGAAGGGGTGGGCAAGGAGAAAAATACAACAATGAAGGAATGGATATCCAAAGTATCTGTAAATTTTCATTAAAATTAATAATAATTAAAGAGTTCAGAAAAAAATTAGAAATTAAAAAAAAAAGAAAGAAGGCTTCTTCATGGTGTTCCTGGTATAGCTGACCACTGTGGCACTGGTGGGGACAAGGACATTGCTGAAGAATAAAAATAAGCCATCTTCAGCTCAGAGATGAATTTACTTTCAGATTAAGAAGTAGAATCGACTAACTGTGAAATCAGAAGGTACCAGGTGTTTCTTCTTTGTCCAGATTCTCCTGAGCTTTGGGAGCCTTCTCTACTATCACTGGGACCCAGTCAGGGTGCTTCTCTTGGATCGTCTCACCCTCACAGCAGTACTTCTCGGACAGATGCTCCTCTTTATACTCAAACTTCATCCTTCCAGGTACTGGGCTGGACTGTGCAGGTGCAAAGGAACACTTAAGGGGGGGAGGGGTACACAGCAGCGATGGAGGCAACTTATGAGAGGACTCAGTGGCGCGACCCCCAGGATTTGTGCCACCTCCCTATTCTTCTAAGAAAATTTATGGTTTGAATTTTCACATTAGGTCTGTTTTCCCAGCATCACCTCTGGTGGTTCGAATCCACCAGTGGCTAATGGGTAGAAAGACATGCACTGTCTTCACACGTGACTTACAGCCCTGGCAAGCCCTCTGGAGGGCCAGCTATGAGTCAGTTTCAACACAATGGCAATGGGTTTGAGTTTATTGTTGTATCAGGTATAACAGTTGTGACTACTGTAGTGGTATAAGCGTAAAACGCAAATGCAATGCCCTCAAATCGGAGCAGCCTCATAGCTGACACTCCAGCAGGTTCTGGAGCCTGTACATCCCGGGATGGGGGGGGAGGCGGGAAGACTCCCCCCTGTCTTCTGCTTGTAGCTATGTAGTACGTTTTAGTAAAATCAGGGAGGAGGGGTTCTCCCACTTTGGTTTTTTGTTTCAAAAGTTGTTTCACTATTTGTGGCCTCTCGCCATTCCACACAGAGATGCCAATTTTTCCATTTCTATAAATAAGGCTGTTAGCATTTTTACTGGGATGGCACTGAATCCACAGATCACTTAGGGTAGTATTTACATCTCTTTCGACCAAAGAACACAGAATACCTTTCCATTTATTTAAGGCTCTTTTAATCTCTCTCAGCAGTGTTTTGTAATTTTTTTTCTTTTTAAAAAAAATGTTAATTGTGATTTTAATAAAAGTTTACAGAAAAGCTGGAGTTTTCATTCATTCATTGTTGTACATTTTCCTCCCTAACTCCTTTCCCAGTTTGCTTTTAAAAAAATTAATAAATAAATTTATTCACTGTTGCATAATTTCCTCCCTCCCTGTGTTTTGTTATTTTCATTGTATAAAGTTCTTCACATGCATGGTTAGGCTTATTCCATGGTATTTTATTATCTTGGATGCTACTGTACATGGAATTGGTTGCCTAATTTTCCTTTCAGATTTGTCACTGCTGGTGTATAGAAATTCAACAGATGGGAGCTCTGGTGGCCTAGTGGCAAGAAACTGCACTGCAATCCCAGAGGAACACGGTTCGAATCCTCCAGACGCTCTGCCGGAGAAGGAGGCGCAATATCCTCCTGTACCAGTCAGATCTGATTTGACGGTACACGCACACAAAATAATTAAAAAAAAAAAGAAAGAAATTCAACAGAGCTTTGTTTGTTGACCTTGTACTCAATAATTTTGCTAAATTTCCCTTTTAACTCCAAAGATTTTCTTTGTGAACTCTTAATGTATATATACTGTTTCTCTCTCTCTCTCTCTTTCCCTATATATATATGTATGTATATACTCATTATATATATTCTTTATAAATATACATACATACATATACTCTTTTATATATATCAACATCATGATAAACGGAGAAAAGAAGAAAGTTTTCTATCATTTCATTCCACATGGATCCACAATTAACACCCAATGGAAGCGGCAGTCAAATCAAACAACGTATTGCACTGAGTAAACCTGAGACCTTTTTAAAGTGCTTAGAGCAAGGATATCTCTTAAAGACTAAGGTGTGCTGCCCAAAACCATGTTCTTTTCAATCATTTCACATGTGTTTTGTAAGTTGGAAAATGACTTCATTCCAGACGTCTTTATAAGCTCGACAATGACTAAGGAAAAGGGAAGAAGGAGGCCTTTTCACTGAAGTGCTCGTGAAGAGGACCGAATGGATCCTAGACTACAGAGAACAGACAATGAACTCTGTCTTGGGAGAAGGGCAGCCAGAGTGCTTCACAGAAGTAAGCATGACGAGACTTTGTCTCCCACATTTTAGGTATGTTGTCAGGAGGGATTAGTTAGCCCCCTGAACAAGGACATCATGCATGCTAAAGTAGGAGGTCCGCAAAAGAGAGGAGATGGAATGACATGATAGGTTTAAACACAGCAGACAGCTAACGGCAGCTAACAACAATCTACAGGATTATATCCTTGGGATAATTCTACTCCTTCTTTCCCAATCTGGATATCTTTCATTTCTTCTTGTCTTACTGCTCTGGACTAGGACTTCTAAGGGAGTCCACAGGAGTTGTGCTACTAATCTAGGGCCTTGCCTCTCTGGTAGTTCTATCCCTCAGTATCTCTGCAGGAGAAAGGTGGGCAATGTCCGCCTAGGCAGCCACAGTCTCAGAAAGCTAGTGGAGGGTGAGCTACGAGTCAGTTCACCGCGGCAGAAATGAGAGAGAACTTCTCCTACAATACTGAATAGAAGTGGTAAGAGGGACCTCGCTGTTTGATTCCTAATTTTGAGGGGAAGGCTCTCAATCATCCTCCATTCAGTTGGTGGGTGTTGGCTTTCCCCATACACAGAGTCATACTGAGGACTTCCCCTCCTATTACAATGCTCTTCAGTCTCTTCCTCAAGACAGTGTGCTGGATTTTAACAAACCTTTCTCTTCTGCCCTCAGAGATGATCATGTCTTTCAAGTCTATCAATGTAGTATATTACATTAACTGCTTTTCTAAAACTGAATCATCCCGTACTCCTAGAATAAATCCTTTATGACCTTGATGTATGACTCTTAGCATGCTATTGCATTGGGTTCGCTCATATTTTGTTGAGGACTTTTTCACATCTATATTCCTAAGAGATACTGGCCAGTAGTATTCCTGTGGTGTCTTTGTCTGGTTTCAGTATCAGGGTTACATGCGTTTCACAGAATGAATTAGGGAGCAGCCCTTCTCTATTTTTCGGAAGAGCTTAAACAGTCCTGGTGTCAATTCTTCTCTACATGTTCAGTAGAACGAATTCTATTTATCGGAAATATCAGAAAAAGACAAATGCACAGAGATAGACAGTAGACTGGTCGTTGCCAGAGGCTGTGAGTGGGGGATGACAAGTTATTGCTAACAGATACCTTTTTTTTTTAGAGATAAGAATGTTCTAGATCTATACAGAGGTGATGCCTGCACACTGTGAATGTGCTAAATGCCACTGAATTTTTTCCTCTCAAAAATGGTTCATTTAAAAAAATTTTTAAATGGTTCATTTCATATTATATGAGTTTCATGTCAATTACAATGAAAAACTAAACTGCAGATGAATTGACAAGATGAGAGGGAAACTAACGAGGTAGAAGGGCAGAGGTCTGCGAGGGTTGTGGCCAGGAGTGGTCAGAGTGTGAGAAGCAGCTGCTGACAAGCAGGGCCAAGAGGCCCAGGCAGCAGGAAGGACAGGTGCCAAGGTACTGTGGTCACAAGAGCTGGGAGCAGTGATGTGGCAGCATATGAGCACCTATCCCCCCTGGGCCTCAGTCTGCCCATCTATAAGCGGGCAGCATGAGGGCATAAATGAAGGATTAAACATGGCTCACTCAGCATGATGCTTGAACCACGCACCTATGTACCACTCCTCTAACTGGGTGCTGAGCCAATACCCCATGGTTCCTGTCCACAAATCGGAGGTTCCAGTCTGATCTCATGAGGACTGGAGGCTTCACCAAGGATCGGGACGGGGATGCTGGGTGTCCGGCACATGTGTGCGTGAAGGGACAGTCCAATGGTGCAGCTCTCCCTCTGCCCTGGAGCACATGTCCCTGTTTGCATCTGGGGGCAGGATTCTTTGCATTTTCATTTCAAATCTCATTACTAATTGAATAACACAAAACACAACCCTAGCATGGCTGGCGGGACTGGCTGTATCTCTGCAAGGCCGCCGGGCAGGCAGGGTGCCAGGCGCAGCACAGGGCGGCTGGCACTGGCTGCCATCTTGACAGTGTCAGGCTGGGTTCTTGACAGCAGCCCAACAAGAGATCAGCCTACCACTGCCCCCAGACCCAATGGTCCAGGAAAATACAGGAAATGCTATCCCACACTGATCTTCCCACTGCCTCACCTTAGGACTGGGGGTGGGAGGGAAGAACTCCTCTACACCCTACATTTGAGAGGCTCCCCTAAACGTCAGGGCCCTCAGAAGATGAGTGCATGAGGCGATGCCCTCGTTATATACCCAAAATAGTGTCTGTGCTCTATTTTATGTGCCCCATTTTTCAGGCACGGTGTGACTGCCAAGTTACATAATCACGTGAACGACCAGTTGTGATCTGGGAGTAGGGTCGCAGCCTGCCTGGCTCAACTTGTCCCCCTGGAGTGCCCCCAACCTGAGTCTTCCTAGGGCCACCTCTCGGGTCACAGCCAGATCCTTCAGGCTGCCTGTTATTCTCAGACCAAGCACAGTTCCCAGCACTGTGTGTCCCTCATGGGCATACAGCAGCCACATGCAGGGCTGTGGGTGCCTCGGATGTGGGGAAGAGCCAAGAGAGGGCTTGAGCAAGCTGGAAGGCATGCTGAGGGGCTAGCATCACCACTGGAGGACACACCCTTGCACACAGGGGCTGGAGAAGCAAATGCCAATGAGGCACAGGGGACAGACGGCCAGCACAATGAAGAGTGAGGGGACAAGGGAGGGTGCATACATGCATCTGCAAAAGGACCATGCAAGGGGCGCCTGCATCACTACCCACAGCCCTGGGTCGGCACTGTGTGCAAACGCAAAAAATGAAAGCAAAAGAAGGACCCTGCACCGAAGACCCTGGGGGATGCTCTAGCCCAGCAGGCCTGGCAGCTCCACAGCAGCTATTTCAAGCCGAGTCAAAGGTCCATCTACTCTGTATCATTCTCCTGACACAGAGAGGAACTTTGGGCAGGACTATGTTCCTGTGAATGGGTCTACAGTAGGCAATGCTGTTCCGTGCCTAGAGTGACCGTGGGGACCCCTGAGAATACACCAGGTGGGTGCTGTCACTCAGGTTCTGCAGACAAGGCAGTCAGGTCCCAAGAGTGCCCAGCAAGGGAGCCGGAGTCTGCTCCCAACTAGTCCCTGAGAACCTGTGGGGCCCACGAGGTGCCACACCGCCCAGGGACT